ATGTTAGTAACATGCACTTAACTGATTGTAATTGAATCAAACTTAGTGTAATCAAAGATTAAATGTTCATAATCCCAAGCTTATGAGGAATATTGAATATTGTTGGTAATTGTTGCAAGAACTTAAAGTCATTTAATGATTTAAAGAAAGAGCTTATTTGAATTAAATCAATTAAATGAAGTTTTATTTGAAGAACATGTTTTGAATAAAACAATTTTTGTCAACTTAGATATTAGAGTTTATTAGTATCTAAATTACCAACCTAGATAGAACATAATCATATTCATTTTGCATCTTTCAACATAATACATGTATAAGAATCAGAATCGGAAATGTATTTCTTTTACTAAATTCTGTTAACAATCTTGTTTATTTATGAAGTTTAAATCTAGTTTTAACACAATCCCCCATTTTAATATTATTTGTATTATGTGTGAAAATATGGCAAGATAAGAAGTCTTGTATTCCTATGGACCGACCCTGCTTACTCTATACTATATTTAGTATAAGAAATAGCAGTGACTTGAGCTTTATTAATATTCTTTATCCCATTATTTGTTGGTTTGACAGCCAAACAAATTCTCAAAGCTATTAAATAATTATCATGAAATGTTTCATATTAAAATGAGAATTATTGACGCCTAATTGCTATTGCAAAATCCTAAAATATATGGTTAAAGTTTGTTTCAATTTTCGCACAAATCCGTAGGTGTGGCTCAATAAGAGCATAATTCACACACAATTTATAAGTGTATATTGTTGATAATATTACCTAACATATTTTTCTCAATATGTAACACTCATTCATAAATTGGTCACTAGTTTATCATGCAAAACGTTATTTATCAACATCATTGCTAAAAATAGACCTTCCATTTTGGATTTTGGAATGGAGAAAGTATTAATTTTAATAGAAGATATATCATTCGATATATAGTATGTTTTCTTAATTTCAACCATCACTTTGCGTAGTTTTCAGTTTTCTTCAAATTATTAAATCTTGTATCTATAAGTATATCCACAATATAATTTTGAAGATTTGCTTTAAATGCTCCAAATCTGCGCTCTAAGAACTCGTTAGGATAAAATTTAGTCATTTTGAATACATCATTCCCGTAAAATGCATATAAATAAATAATGTCGGTGTTACTTTATTAAAACAATTTTTGAGCTCTTCAATTTGCATACGATGATCGAAAAATGCATCAATTTTGTAGTTGGACAAATATGGTTTATTAGTTTCCCTTTCGAAGTAGCAAATCCATTTTTTTTACTTTGAGATTTTTTAAAATATGGTTTATTAGTTTAATCCTAAACAAAATGTGACCAACATATAAGAACTTAAAACTTAGTTGAGTACTTCATGGATAAATGGGAGAAAGATAAAAGTGGTGGAAAAGGGTCTAGTTTTTTAAAATGTAATATCTTTTGATCCGACCCATCTTATAAGTTCAGAAAGTCAGAAACACAATTTTCTAAAAATAAGATGTGTTCATTGAGAGACTACCAAATGTTTTAAAAAGTATTAAGGCCGTAACAACTACGAAAACATAAAAAAATGAATAATAACATAAATGGGTTACAAACTGTCTAAATTGTCTTAAGAGTACCACCAAACTAAATAAATATCGTAATGTAACAAACTTTTGTTTTTTTGTTTTTTAAATACCATTGTAACATGGAATAGTAGTTTTTCTCGATTACAGTGGTCTTTAAAAAATTGTTGCCTTCTGATAATTTTTATAGTTCAATGATGTTTTTAAAACGTTTGAGACATTTTGTTACCCATTTATGTCAGTATCCCCACATCATATACATATGTTTTTGTGAGAAGAAAGTAAGCAACATAAAACTAATATATCAATTTCATTGTGTACCTACTCGATATCTTTCCAAAAAACAAAGAGAATGCAAACATATATATATATATATATATATATATATATATATATATATATATATATATGGGAAAAGGGAATATACATTACAGCCCCACCTAAGCTTAGGTACTAAACCTCTTGAAAATACATTGTTTTACTATATAAAGATTACGGTTAATGGATTCACGATTAATACTTCAAGATGTAAATTCAAGATCGACACAATAGGGTTTAGGGTTTAGGGTTTAGGGTTTAGGTTTAGGGTTTAGGGTTTAGATTTAGGGTTTAGGGTTAGGGTTAGGGTTTAGGGTTTAGGTTTAGGGTTTAGGGTTTAGGGTTTAGGTTTAGGGTTTAGGGTTTAGATTTAGGGTTTAGGGTTTAGGGTTAGGGTTAGGGTTTAGGGTTTAGGGTTTAGGGTTTAAATTTAGGGTTTAGGGTTTAGGTTTAGCGTTTAGGTTTAGGGTTTAGTAATGTTTACTTGGGTGAAGTAATAAACGATAATTGATAAAAGAAAACAGAGATGGTGAAACGATAATGAAAGAAAGAAATGTTATGGAGGATGATATATTTACCAAGTGAAACCAAATCGGGTATATTTAGCATGTTAAAACGACATATTTTAGAGGTTTAGTACCTAAGCTTAGCTGGGGCTGTAATGTATATTCCCTATCCCCTATATATATATATATATATATATATATATATATATATATATATATATATATATATATATATATATATATATAGAGAGAGAGAGAGAGAGAGAGAGAGTGAGACAATAAGAGAAGAGAGGATGGGATGAAACTTATTGTTTTTCTTGTGGTTTGTCTTGATATCCACCATGGATGAAAGGAGGAAGTATATTAGGGTGCACCATGAGTATTCATATCAAGATTTAATATGGGTCTTAGTGAAGCTTGTGAAGGATTAATGAAGTTTTTCATGTGATGTTATGGTAATGTGCAAGTTAATACATGAACACTATTTAGTAGGGGTGAGCAAAAACCGCACCGCAACTAAAATTAACCGCATAAACCGCAACCGATAAACCGCAACCGCAATAAAAACCGATGGTGAGGTTTTTTTGTTTTTCAAAAACTGCAAATTTGCGGTGCGGTGCGGTTATTAGTTTTCAAAAACCGCACCACACCGCATATATTATATACAATTTTTTTATTAATTATTAATATATTAAATATTAAAAATAATGCAAGTTTAATGGATGAAAGATGGATAAAATATAGAAGACAAAAATGTTGGTTTTTTGTTATGTTTAACTTTGAAAAATAGTGAAATTAGACAATTTTAAGATATTTATTGTTAATTACTATTGATTTGACGTTTTTAAGATATTAGTTGTTTGTGATTTAAGTTAATTGTCTTATACCTTATGGTTTTTTTATCATTACAAGGAATATGTTTGAACTCTTAAAAACCGTTTGAGCTCAAAACTGTGGTCAAAAACCACACAAAATAATCACACCAAATTCATGCGGTTAATAACCGCAACACAAAAAAAACAAAACCGCACCGCAAAAATAACCGTCTAACCGCACCGCAAAAATAACCGCACCAAGCGGTTTTGAAAATGGATTAACCGCATTTGCGGTTAGTGGTGAGGTTTTTGCTAAAAACCGCACCGAACCGCACCGCGCTCACCCCTACTATTTAGATAACACCATAAAAGGTGTATTGTATTAAGATTTATATGTAAGTTGACAGTTGTAGTGCTCGACGATGGATTTCCGATGAAGATCCAAAGTGTTTTACCAATGAGGTGATTCGGCGAGATGGTTGGAAGAGGGAAACGAAATTGAACAAATGGATTAGTATTTCATTAGTAGCTATTTAAAGAAATTGAGTATGTCTCTTTAATTATATGTGCGTATGTGTTTGTGTGAAAGCAGTTTCAGATCTGGCATGAGATCGGCTACCTCTGTTGGTGGAGATCAATGGAGTTGGGAATGTTTTGGTTACTTCCTAACATTTTAAATGAGAATCAATCGATGTCAGTTTATGTTTGGCTCTGTCATTTGTAATATGGTTGATTGTATTATAACCAATAGTCTAGATATGAAGAACCTTGACAAGTATGATGACGCATATTCAAGAATCCCATCATTTTCAGACTAGTGTTATAAAAATGAATAATTGAAACACTTTTAGAGTTTTTTTCTTAGTGAAACCTATTCAATTTGAAGGAATATGGGGACTTGAATAATCCTAAAGAAAGATGGTCAAGGAAAGTATTAAAGCGGAAAATCTATATGATGGAAATGATATATGCTCATTTAAGATGATTCTTTCCAAATAATAAATTTAGTCAAGTTTGATTAACCTACACAAAACCGATGTGAGCATTATAGTCCTTGCTTACGGAAGGTTAGCTTATAACACAATTCGACTTATTTATAATAATTTAGGGTAAATTCACATGATAAAAAAAATTCAAAAGTTGTGGAAGGCCAACCTTCAAAGTAATAATATACAATGGATAATGGCATAAAAAAGTGACAATATATCTAAACCGATTGAAAAATATCATTGAACTATAAATGTTGTTAGAAGACAACGAACTTTTATTTTTGTTTTTAAAAGACCATTGTAAGTTGTAACCGAGAAAACCTACTATTCCATCCATGTTACACTGTTGTTTTAAAAACTAAAATGAAAATGTGTTACCTTGTGACAACATTTATTTAGTTTGATGGTATATTTTAAACATTTTATATAGTTTGTTATCCATTTATATCATTATCCACTTTCAACCTGAGGTCATTATATCTATACTAAATAGCAAATTCGGTGGACTTTGCTATTTAGTAACTTTGGTCTCTTAATTTTGTAGTTTGACAACTTAAGTCCTCCTAAGTTTCAATTTTGTCCCTGACTTTTGTGGTTTGGCAACTTAAGTCCTCCTAAGTTTCTATTGCTATTGAAAGAGTTCCTTTTACTTTCTATTACTTCTTAAGTCCATTACTTCCGCCGTGTCTAGTTTATACTAAAACGGAAACAGGGACGAAAAAGTCATTAGTGATAGATTATGATTTATGTGTGATGATGAGTTCGTTTTTAACATAATTTTCCAGTATTGAACATAATTAACATGCAGTAATAATACGATAGCATCATGAGTAGTAAAAGTTGTACATTTCTCTTATTTGACCTAAAAGTCGGATTTACATTTTAATCTACTTGATTTGTTTCTTTAAGATTGTTCTAATAAATTTTCAAGATATAAATTCAATATGTATCTTCCAGTGGAGAGAACATCAAGCCTCTTCTCAAAAGGTTCATATTTACCTTTTCGAAGCTGATACCTGTGAGTTACTGCTGAGATTGTGTAATTTTGCCCTTCAATTGTCACACCATCTCCACATTGCAAGTTCTGTCATCACACAAACAAAATCATAAATAACTTCTACATTTTACCTGTTTGAGATAATTAATAACCAAAATGCCACCTCTTATTTAGCAATTTAGTGCATTCCTTTATAAAAATAACATTTTTCTTTATCTATCAATTTAGTTTTATTTAGTTATAGAGATTATACAAAACAAACATATTTCAATGACTCATTCCATTCCTTCAAGCCAAACCAAACATGACAATGGACTGATTCCATTCCATCATACCAAACATACCCTCAGTTATGTTTTATTAATAACAGGTCAAACAGGAAAGATTGAATGATATCCCACAGTATACAACCTATCTAACTGCTTTATTCAAAACAGTGTATCATTATTTTACTAATTATTTTTGTAATCATCTATAATGAATCAATTACTTATACAATTCAATAACCATACGGCTTTTGGAGAAATCAAAGAATAGTTGACTTTCATGCTTCTATTGTTGGTTTATTGTTAGTTAATGTAGACACACAAGAAAACAAATCGAAAAAGAGTCGAAAGTTCAATACCCATGACACTAAGAAATAACTAACAAGAAGAATGGTGCTACACATACATTAGACAATTAAGCATAAGTGATTATAATCAGCCTGTTCGGTTAAGGGTGAGTATGATTATGATCTTTTGTATTTAGGGTTAAATAATCAAATTTGGAAAAACAAAGAGTGGTTGAAAGAAAACTTGTAATGGAGACATTTGTGAAATTAAGTAATCATCCCTAACTTTAGCTAACCGATTATATATCATAATGTGATTTGACTAAACGAAATAGCACTCCATTTTTACAAAACAAGAGCTACAGTTGACTTCCACAATTAGGATGCCTAATTTTCTACTCAAAATCTGTAACTTTTTGACACAAAATCGATAGCTACATTTCCCATTATAACAAAAAAATGTTCCCGGAAATCAATTTTGGATATGGGAAGATCGAATAGTTTCCCCTTATTTTGGAGGTACTGACAAAATGAATAGATAGTAGAATTGTAACACCATATGATGAAATTGAAATTGAGGATGATTTATGCTTACAGGAGGGAAGCAGCGAACGCCAAGGCTTTTAGGAGGAGGAGTAACTTCGATGACTTTATAGGGATAATTCTGATCTCGACCTTTCTCCTTCTTTCTGCACACGATCTGATGTTGCATCATCTGCGGCTATTTTATTTCATTCGACTGAGATTAGAGATCCAAAAAACTTTCATCCGCAGCTACATAATAACTACCCAATTTACACAGTTTTGCCCAAAACCGAAGAGAAACTAGTCGAATTGTAAAATACGAGTGAAAGAGAAAAAGTTAAAGCGGTCTAACCTTCCGGAATGCGATTAAGTGAGTCGCCATTGCCATCAGGAAGAAGCAGATACCCACAGTCCTCGGTCCTTGTCTATAATTCTTGGCCAGAAGAAGATGTGGACTATAGTCTATAGGCAAGCCAGAAAATTATTATATGGAAAATCCCATTCCCAGCCGTTTTTTGTTTTTATTTATTTTTATTTTATTTTGGCTATTACCACTCCCACGTGGCACGGGTGTTGGTACTTGGTAGGGTGCAATCAGGGACGAGCTTTAGAACCGGTTCGGAATCGGAACCGGTTTTTCTATATTATAAAAACCGGGAATCGGACCGCTGGTTCTAACACCGGTTTCGGTTCCGGTCCCGTTTTTTCGGTTATTTTTCAAACTAAAACCGGTTGTAATATTATAGATAATATTTTTATTTTCCGGAACTTGTAAATGATTCAATATTTAACCAAATTTTGACCTTTTACATTTTAAATTAAAGTACAAACACTAAATTACATGATGAAAAAAGAATCAAGTAATTCCGACTTCATATGAATGGGTTATGCGTATTTTAAAAACGGGACAGATTTCAAAAAAAAAAATTGTTGAAACAGAAAATACGCAGCATTGACATGTTGTCTTCCGAGGTCTATAACTAATTCAATATCTAACCAAAATGTGTGTTTTTATAGTCTAAAATGAACTACAAACACCAAATTACATGCTGGAAAAAAATTAAGTAATTCCGACGTCATATAAATGAGTTATGTTCATTTAAAAAAATGTGACAGATTCAAAAAAACAAAAAAAAATGTTGAAATAGAAAAAATGCAACATCGATATTCTTTCTTTCGGGGAATATGTCTGATTCAATATCTAACCAAAACATATGTTTGTACAGTCAAAAATGAATTACAAACTCCAAATTACATGTTGAAAAAAAAATTAAATAATTCTGACTTCATATGAGTGAGTTATGCGCATTTTAAAAAACGGAAAAAAATGTCAAACCGGTTCCGGTTTTTAGAACCAAGACCGGTTTTCATAAAAATGGAGAACCGGTAACCGGACCTTTTTACCAATTCCGGTTCCAGTTTCGGTTCCGATGGTTCTAATGCACATCCCTAGGTGCAATATATCATGTAAAATACTATATTTAGTGAATTATAAATATACGAATCAATGCTTCGTGTATGGTATACGCATTTGATCTTTGTAAAATTACTTTTTATATATACAACGGATAGGCGATAGCGTATTTGATAAATAGTATGAGATTTATCGGGGCAGAGCTTTTAAATAAATGAAAATTATAGATTTAAAATCTGGATGATACTAATGTTTCATAACATCTTCTATCATATGTTTTGTCATAAAGTTAATTAATTTTACAGGTATGCTCATACAAATAACTATAAAAGCTATGAACATTTAGTCCAGCCACCATTAAATAAACCTCGATTAATGAATTTAAAGAAACTCGATTCAGATGAGATGACCTAAAAAATACAATTTACCTTCCCATTTTAGCTATGAGACCAATTGGTGGACTTTCACCCTTTTCTTTAGTATCCATGCCAAAAGAAACAAAAATACAACATACAATCATAATAGGTAAACTCTTATCTTAGAGAATGCAACCATATCTGGTGAATTTTGAAAGAGAATTAGAATCCCCCTTCCGTCAATTTAAGATGAAAAGAAAAAAAAAATCTGGCTAAACCACCAACAGTTTATGTTCTGACAAGGCATGAAACTTGAGCTTATAAAAAGCTTCCATTGTATGATTACAACAATGCACTCGGCTTATTAACATTTTGACATGTGTCCAAAAGCATATGGCTAACTGAAGTTCAATAATAACAATAGGATGTCTTTGTATCCTTAAACACACAAAAGTTACCCCCAATCTAAAGAGAGGGTACTGTTTTCAATCACATTGTATTTCAACAAAAACCTTAAAACATTAATCATATGATGCCCCAAAGGCGCCTCATTGTTTTCCTCCATGTATGAAATCATTCGGCCTACAAACCAAAAATGTAAACAGCATTATAAATTATAAAAATCTAATTTTCACTGCCATAATCAGGTAGACTTTTTATATTTCATAAATTGGTAAAAAAAGAGTAAAGTAGAATGTTATTTTGTACAACAATTTGCAAACCTGTTTTCAAGCAGCTGCTTGAAGCAACTCCCGATCAGCACGCTCCCTGATCCTCCTCTCCATCTCAGGCCTAAAATGTCTAATAAGCCCTTGAACAGGCCAAGCAGCAGCATCACCAAGTGCACAAATAGTATGCCCTTCAATCTGCTTAGTCACTTCCTGAAGCATATCAATCTCCTCCAATTTCGCATTCCCAACTTTCATCCTTTCCATAATCATCCAAAGCCACCCAGTTCCCTCCCTACAAGGCGTACACTGACCACAACTCTCATGCTTATAAAAATACGAAAGCCTCGCAATCGCATCCACAATATCAGTTGACTTATCCATCACGATAACAGCAGCTGTCCCTAATCCAGATTGAACAGCTTTCAATGCATCAAAATCCATCAACACATCCTCACATAAATCCTTTGTAAGCAAAGGAACAGAAGAACCACCCGGAATCACCGCTAGCAAATTGTCCCATCCGCCCCTCACACCACCACAATGCCGCTCCAACAACTCCTTCAATGGAATGCTCATCTCCTCTTCCACTGTACACGGTTTGTTCACATGACCCGATATACAGAAAAGTTTAGTCCCCGAATTGTTCTTTCTACCAAAACTAGAAAACCACTCGGGCCCACGTCTTAGAATAGTCGGCGACACCGCAATTGTTTCCACGTTTGTGACGGTTGTGGGGCACCCGTATAACCCCGCGTTGGCGGGAAACGGCGGCTTCAAACGTGGTTTTCCTTGTTTACCCTCGAGGGATTCAAGAAGTGCGGTTTCTTCACCACAAATGTAAGCTCCAGCTCCGAAATGGATATGGACATCGAAATCATACCCGGACCCACACGCGTTTTTTCCGAGTAATCCAGCAGCGTATGCTTCTTTTCTTGCTTTTTCTAAATTCAAACGCTCATTTACGTATTCGCCCCTGATGTAAATGTAGGCAGCGGTTGCACGCATACCTACTCCAGCTATTAAACATCCTTCTAGAAGCTTGTGTGGATCGTTGCGCATGATTTCTCTATCTTTGCAAGTTCCGGGTTCACTTTCGTCTGCGTTTACAACAAGATAAGATGGACGACCATCGGATACTTTTGGCATGAATGACCATTTTAGCCCTGATGGGAAACCAGCACCTCCACGTCCACGTAGGCCGGATTTTTTCATTTCGTTTACTATCCAATCAGCACCTTTGATTACTATATCTTTAGTTCTATGCCAATCACCTCGTTTCATTGCGCCTTTGAGAAAGGGGTCGTGTAAACCGTATAGGTTTGTAAAGATGCGGTCTTCATCTTTCAGACCACCAAAGTGGGTTTTTTCCGGTGGAGGTGGTGGTGGTGGTGGTTGGGCGGTGGTGGCGGTTGTTGCAGACTGAGTGCTGAAAAGTCTAGCGGTAGCATTTATCCCCCAGTTTGCATTTTGATGCCTTGATAGAACAGCCCTTTGCAGAGAAAGAATGCCCTTCATTGGTGCCTAACATAAAGTATCCCAAAATGAACAAGTTCAGATTACAAATATTCTGATTGATCTAGTCCAAATTAACTTAATTTAGATAAATGCCTAAGATTATAAGTACACGATTAAGAAGATAACCAAAAAGAATAGAGATTTAGAGAATAAAGAGATCGGAAATGTACAAAAGGCCGCAATAAAACATCATATAATAAACCAACTGCTGAATAAGGGGGAAAGGCACAATTTTTATGCAATCAAACCCTCGTTTCATACTTAAGTGCAGATTTTTCGTAGTATTCCACAAAACACGGAAGTTCGATACAGCAGCTATCAGAAAACTACATAGAACCCTAGGGTTTCTACAAATCTCTCTTCGTTTACTTTCAGTTATCCAATTTTTTCCTAGATCAGAAAAACAAACTCGTATCTGATTCGAATAAGCACATCTAAATCAAATCGGATCTATAAGAAACTCATGAGAAGGGCGACAATCAAACAACAGCAGAAACGAAAAAATCAGAAGAAAAATAAATAAATTAATTAATTAATTAAAATAAAATAAAAAATAAAACTCTTACCATACACCAGGAAATGCAGCAAACAAGCTTCTGAACTGATTATCAGCAATTCAACTCTGGAGAAGATTTTGAAGTAAAGTATAAGGAAATCAACTTGACCCCCAAAATTGTCGCCCGAGTAATCCAACGACCTTAAATGGGTTTTATTGTGGGGCAGCGGTTCTATCAGAATTACGACGTGAACGTTTCGGCCTGTGATTTTTAACGGAACGCGTGGATACGAAATGGGCCGCAAGTTTTAGTTGACGAAACAGCCCAATAGAGGGATCATTTATAACAAAGGGATCATTTATAACGAGCAGGGGACAATCGATAAAAATACATAATACGAAACGAAATTTGTACAAAAATGAAATTTGTATTTGTATTTGTGTCAGGTGTAAAAAACACGATGTCGTGTCGTGTTCGTGTTCAAAATTAATACGAAATTGACACGATTTAACATTTGTCTCTCGTGTTTTTCGTGTTGGTTGTGTTATATACAAATAAGTATTAATTAAATAAACTAATTGTTGTTTTATGTTCCCTTTGTCGTGTCGTGTCGTATTTATCGTTTTTTAATCGATCCGTTTTCGTTTTAGTTAAAAAAACACGACATCGTGTCGTGTCGTGTTCGTGTTACATAAAACATTGTCGTGTCGTGTGTTTTCGTATTAGTTAAAAAAACATGACATCGTGTCGTGTTCGTGTTACATAAATTTGTCGTGTCGTGTCAGACAAAAACACGACACGATGGTCCGATCTACCACCTCTAATGATGAGTTCACGTTTCACAGGCTTTCATTATTGACTTACACATTTTTTTACAAAATTACATATTTGGTCATTGTCATGACAAAAAAGATAATCACAAGACCTTTTGAAAATTCTTGAGCAAAGGTCCTTTTTACATTTAAAATGAATACGGGGCGGTAGATTTTTTTGGCTAACTGTGTTATCGTTTTCAATAAACTCCCATATGAAATTACATATTTTCTTTTCTTATGTAATTTTATCTATTATTTATTATTGTTTTTATTTAAGTTGTTTATATGTTTTATGAAGATTTTTTTTTTCGTTTTGTTCGAATATATTGTTTAATGTTTTTATTTTTATATTTTGTTCACTTATATTTTTTTGACGTTTTGTTCGAACATATTTTTTAATATTTGTTTTGAAATATAACCCGCAAACGAACAAAATGTCTAAAAAAACAAACAAACAAATGCAAAAACGTTACAGTTAAGTCCACCCTTTTTATTTCTCTCCATTCACCAACTATCTCTTTCCGAGTTCTTTTTTCGTTCTTTTATTTTTTGTTTTAAGATTTTTTTTCGTTTTCGAGTTATACAAATTTCGATTAGGCTATGTGTAAATTGACACCCATTTCTATAATAATCTAAAAATTTTGGTATAAGTATTTTAGATTGCTATTTTGTGATTAAGGGCATTTTGGTCCTTATGGTAATATTATAATTGTAGAATGATTTTAAATGTCTATTATGTGTTTGTTATATGTTTAAAGTAATGAAAATGTGTTCTTATGTATGGAGAATGAGTTGGAATGAATAGGTATGAGAAATGGGTAGGAAATGCATTGAAAAAGGGATTGAAAACCTGATTCGAGCTCTACCACAACGCGGTAGTTGGGGTGTCGCGACGTGGTGGTTGAGGCGGTGATTTGGGTAAGTTTTTGTTGTAAGTCGTAGGCAACATACTTTGCATTGTGGCGTGGTATATAGGTACCCTACCATGGTGGCAAAAGTAGGATTCCCTTAGAATTGTCACCACGGCGTGAAAGGAATTGACCACCGATTCGTTAAACGCACCATGACGCAGTAAGAGGTTTTACACGACATGGTTTCAAGAGCATAATGTAGATCAGATTAGAGCTCATTCACTCACAAACACACCCCCAAACCCTTTAGATCCAAGCTCCCGGTGATATGGAGATTGAAGAAGGATCAAAAGGCGATCTTGTGTGGTTATGGCAAAGATTGAACATCAAAAGCTCCTAGAGGTATCATCTTCTCCATTTTTTTTAGCTTTTTAGGACTTTAATGGTGTTTTGGTGATTTGAGCTAGATATGAAAGATTAATCTTAGAAAGCTTGTTATTAATGTTTAATTAAGTGTTTAGGAGCTTAATGCATGATTTTTATGGAGATTTTGTGATTAAATCCATGTGATGTTGTCAAGGTTTGAATCCCTAGTTTTGGAAAATTATGAAATTGTTGAAATGTGTTAAAAACTTTATGGATTAAGTGTTATGAAGCCATAATTAAGTTGTTTGTCCAGTTATTGGCAAAGGATTGTCATTATGAAGTTTTACCCAAAATATGAGTGTTTGGCTAGAATTTCTATTAAGCTCTTAATGGGTTAAGACATGTTTAAAAAGAGCTTAATATGTATGAATGATATAGGTTGTGGAAAAGGAGGGGTTGGAGTTCTCCACAAGAAGAATTGAAGAAGGTTTGGAAGTATGTTGCTACTGTCTTTAAAAGATGTGAGTTATATTTTCATCAGAGTATGGTTTTAAGAGTTAGATTTGATGTCATAACAAGATTGTATGATTAGTAGATGATGATCTTACTAGATAGTAACATATTTTGATTTTATGTTGGTATGCTTATGTTATGAATAATAGAGATCATAAGAATGAATTGTTACTTATGTTAATGTGTGCACATATATGTTTTTGAGTAAGATACAAGAATGAAGAACATCTAGAGTTTTGCATGGAAACTGTACATATAACAGAGACCGGTTAATTGTTTATCGATAAGAATAAAGATGTATGGTCACTTATGTGATTAGTTAGAAATAGGAAGTATGCGAGATAAGAAAAATGTTTTTATGTATGTTATGATATTTTATAACTCACCAAACTTGTTGTTCGATATATATGTTTCCATGTGTTTACAGCTTCAGGTAGCAACTAGCAAGCCCTAAAAAGAGTAGACCTAGAAGCATCAATAACATGGACCAAATTTTTGCTTCATGCTTATATTCATGTTGCTTGAATTGTGGTTAGGATATGGATTGATACACATGTACTTGTTTCTGGAAATACTTTTGAAAAACTTTTTGAAACTTTAGTTTTGTAAACAATGTTAATACTCTGATATTTTTCAGAATTGAATGTTAGAAGTTTCATGAAAAATACGGGTTGTTACAGTTACGGATTCCGATGAACCTATATATTAGTCTTATTAAAATAAATAACTTTATACATAATCTATATTAATCCTATTCACATTTAACAAATATTTTTATTCTTTTTTGTTTTACAAAAAATGTTTATAAAAAGTTTTACAAAACTAATAATTATACACCCTTATATGCTTTACATAGTTAAATATTTGAATATATATATATATATATATATATATATATATATATATTAAAAGAACAAAAAGGAATAAAGAAAACATGATTATAAATGAATTATGCTACCAATTATAATTATAGTGGTCATGAAATCTTTAACAAATATAAATAAACAAAACGTAAAAAAAAATATAAGAGAACAAAATGTTAAAAAAACATTAAAATATATATTCAAACAAAACGTCAAAAAAATCTAAATAATAAAACATATAAATGACTTTAATAAATAATATATAAAATTACAGAAATGTTCCATGTCATACGAACGTCAACTATATCATTTCACATGGGTCTTAACTAAAAAATTTAACATCCTTAGCCAAAATGACATCCCATATTCATTTTAAACGTGATAAAGACCCCATGCACTTGTTTTATTTGTCAACCGTATATGGATCAAATATGTAATTTTGTATTTTTTTAACGGCTAGTTATTGACTTATATTTTGTTTCCCAAATCGGACCAAAGCAAATCTTTCGGCTAAAATCGGATAGGTTTGTGTGACAACCCGAAAATATTTGCCTTGTAAGTTCAGCCATTCAATCCAACCGAGTGTCAGACTCGTTTCTGCTATCTTTTAGCCTTGTTTAGAGTCTGTTTAAGGGTTCAAAGCTCAGTACATTCAAGCATTGGGTATAGGATTGAGTTGCGTAAGTTCTTCGCGTCGAAATCAAGCCGAACACTCCATTAGAGGGAGTGTACGGCCGTACACATGAGTGTACGGCCGTACACACATGTGTGTGCGGCCGTACACCCATGTTGGCCGTACACCCCCTCCATAAGAGTGATATCCCTTCATTTCTAAGCCATTTCCTCAGTTTCCAAGTCAAGAACATCGATTTCTCTCTTAACTATCATCGAGCTTTTCACCCCGATCTTCAAGAATGTAAGCCTTTCTTCCGTTTTGATTTCTTGTTATCCTTCTTAACCTAGTAACACCCTTTGATTTCATCCATTGCAAATCATCTTTTGGGTAGATCTTCATCTTTCACCAAGAACACCAAGAACACACACTTGTTCTTGGTGATTGTGAACCCTCTTGAGCCTCCAAATCGTAAGTACTCCTTCCCTATGTTTAGTACATGTTAGGAACACTTGATTAACACCCTAAAAATGACCAAAACTCAAGATCAAAAGGAGTGTACGGCCGTACACCCATGTGTGGCTGTACACCCCTCAAAACACCCCTAAAGGGCCTCCAAAATGCAAATCTAGCTTCAACACTTGATGAGCAATAGTCCTACATGCTTCCCTATCATTCAAGCAAACTTTTGTGCACTTTTTACCATGAGTGTACGGCCGTACACTCTATGGCCGTACACCCATGGCCGTACACTCCATTTAGTAGCCGTACACTCCCCTTAGAAGAATCACATTTGATTATAACACTTGGTCCAAGTGTTTCCTAGTCCCTAAAGGTGTTTCCTTGCATGTGGTTGCTTCTAAACACTATATTCATGCCAAAATATGCCATTATATGTCATTTAGGACTCGTTTGTGTCTCGGGACTTCATTCGTGGAACTTCTCATTCTTACGCGCATATTCGTTTGAATCACCCACATAAGGTGAGTTCATACCCCTATAATGAATCTTTTAAACTGTTTTAAATGCTTTTAAGGGGGGGATAAAAGTTAAACACAATGATAGTTGTGTAAATTTTTGTTATAAACATCTTTCAAAAGAATACTTATGTCTTTTATAAGTGATCAAAACATTTCAAAAACTCTTTTTAAGTTATGTTACTTTATAGTTTATAAAACTCCGTTTTTAAAGTACAATCATAACTTAGTAGATAAATGAGTCTTTTCAATAACAGTTCAAGTAAACATACTAGTAAACTATAGTAGGTATAGTT